CACACACACACACATACATATACATATATGTGTGTATGTATGATATTGGGAGTCTCATCACAATTGCTCTTCAAATTTAGCAACATGTGGATAAATTCACCATGTCATAAAAACATATCTGAGAATCACAAGAATTTTTAAGACTTAAGACCTCAGGAATCCTAAAGTCCAGCGAGGTCAAAAGATGGGCTGGGTACCCCTGGAGGCCATGGCAGGACCTGCAGATGAGGCTGGTGGTGAAATTCAGGCTTCTCATCCTCTTTCAGTCTCTATTCAGCCATTCTGGGAGAGTCACATCTTTGACACTGGCGTGTCACCGAATCTGGCCACCAGGAGGCGCTGGTGTAACAGAGTTCCCATGCAAGTGTGTGTGTGTGTGTGTGTGTGTGTGTGTGTGTGCGCGCGCGCGCGCGCGCGCTTGTGCTTAGGGGAAGGGGGTGGCAGACAGAAGCCAGATGCCTCATGGCCCACTGAGGCCCACCTTGCTGCCCACAGATTTGGCAGTTTGGGCAGTGGGTCAACGTGGTGGTGGATGACCGGCTACCCACAAAGAATGGCAAGCTGTTGTTTGTGCACTCGGGCGAGCGCGCTGAGTTCTGGAGTGCCCTCCTGGAGAAGGCGTACGCCAAGTGAGTGCCCTGAGCCAAGGAACTGGGCTTGCTCCAAACCTGCCCACCCGCTGGCAGCGATGGGGCAGCTGGAATCAAGGGGAAAGGCAGAGAGAGGGGTGGCAGGGCATCCTTCCCTCCCCTCGCCTTACCCCCTGGTGTCCAAGCTCGCGGCTCTATCCCGGAGCCCACGGTGCCCTCGCTGTGCCCACAGGCTGAGCGGGTCCTACGAGGCCCTGTCGGGGGGCAACACGATGGAGGGCTTTGAGGACTTCACGGGGGGCGTGACCCACAGCTTCGAGCTCCAGCGGCCCCCGAAGAACCTGCTGAGGATGCTCAGGAAGGCCGTAGACCGCTCTTCTCTCATGGGTTGCTCCATCGAAGTAAGTCATGCGTGGTCCTGCCTCGCGACCTTCCCCCAGATACCTGCACAGCTCGCGCCTTCGAGTGCACACTTCAGCTCAAATGCCCCTTCCTCAGGTGAGCCCTCCTGCCTCCCAATCTAGCTGCTCCGGCGGCCCCCCATTGAAATCACAATACACAATTCTTCTCTGTGTATTTATTCACAGCCTAGTCTCTTCTCCAGTCAGTTTCCACATTCCATGAAGGCATTGACTTCTTGGTCCCATTCACTGCCTGATCCTGGGCCTTAGGATGGCACTTGGTATGCAATAGCTACTCAGCAAACACTTGCTCAGCTGAACAAACGAGCCTGGAGTGCTACCGGATGACTCGGCAATTGTGTTCTTGTGCATTTACCCCGGAGAAGTAAAGACATGTTCACACAAAAGCCTGAACACAAATGTGTATAGAAACTTTATTTATAATAGCCAGACACTGGAAACAACCCAGATGTCCTTCGAAGGGTGGATAGTTAAACAGTGGCGCACATACCATGGAGCACACTACTCAGCAATAAAAAGGAAAAATGAACTAGCCCTGGCCAGGTGGCTCAGTTGGTTGGAGCATCGTCCCATGTACCAAAAGGCTGTAAGTTCGATTCCTGGTCAGGACACATACCTAGGTTTCAGGTTCAATCCCTGATCGGGGTGCATGGGAGAGGCAACCTATCAATGTGCCTCTCACATTGATGTTTCTCTCCCTTCCTCTCCCTCTAAAAAAAAAAAACAACAATAAAAAAGATATCCTCAGGTGAGGATTTTAAAAAATGAACTATTGGCATGTGCAACAACTTAGGCAAATCTCAAAGGAGTTATGTTGAATTAAAAAAAAAATCTGCCTGGCCGGCGTGGCTCAATGGTTAAGCACCGACCTATGAACCAGGAGGTCAGGGTTTGATTCCT